CTCCTCCTCCTCCTTCTTCTCCTTCTTCTTCTCCTTCTTTTTCTCCTTCTTCTTCTTCTTCTCCTCCTCCTCCTCCTGGTATAAATATTGACTTGTAATGGTGAAAGGGACTTTAATCTTGAAGTCTGAAAAATCATAGATTCCTTTGAATTCTATTCCTCTACCTCCTCCTCATATGATATGCAATACACATGTAATTTGAGGGAGGGGGGGGGGTGATGTCTCTTCTCAGCGATCTCCCTGCTGCTGACATGTGTCACTTATTTAAATAACTTGTCCTTGCAATACGTAGTGAGTTTAATAATTGGTTTGGTTATAAAGGAATGGAAAGTTTTCAATGGGACACAGTAGTGGGTGGTTGGCAGGTGCTCGGGTGTGGTTTGCTCATTCTTTCCTGTCAAATATTTTTCTTCCTTATCTCTCCTCCTTTTTTGTTTATGTGACTCTCTTGCAACACTTGTTACCCTCGTCACTTGTATCATCATCATCATTGCCTTTTTCACCCTGGATCTGGATATAGGCCACGAACAAACATTTTCCACCTTTCCCTATCGTGGGCGAGTCGCTTGATGTCACTCAAGGTCTTCCCACTTTTCTGTACATCCACTTCCGTTATTCTTCTCCAGGTTTCACGTGGTCTTCCCCTTGATCTTTTACCCTCTCGGTTCCAATCTAACACTTTCCTTGTTATGCAGCTGCTTGACTTCCTGAAAGTGTTGTACGTTGTACTGTATTGTAAATCGCTCAGAGCCTGTGTACTTTAATCAGGGTTGAGCGCTATATAAATATCATTTATTATTATTAAAGTCTGTCGTCACTTATATGACCTAATTTTATTTCAAATGCAGTGAAACTCTTACTAAAACTTAACTTAAAAGGAAAGGAATGGAAAGCTTCCAAAAGATGCAGTGGCAAGATAAGCCTAAAGGGGAAATGTTTCATGCGGTATGAGGTTGCTTGAGGTGTCTATCGTTGACTTGCGTACATGTATAAATTTCTTTTTAGATGGGGATTTTTTCTCCTTTCATTTTTTAAAATCTGATATAGTTGGATGCGAGATTCGCAGTCTTCATATATGTAATTTGATTTTTCAGTTTGCTTTATCAATGTTTTTTTGCTTATTTCTTTTGGCTAGGTTTCTGCTGTGCTTACCTGATTTTCATCTGCAAGAATTTGTCAGACTTCGTTCCGTCTGTGAACATGTGAGTGATTTACTTATAGTCAAGTCAACTGAATTATTTTAGTATTCTGAGGAGCGTGATCCACATCATAAACCGTTTGCCATCTAAGTCATATAAAATAGAGGGAACTCTCGGGAGAACATACTACAGAAATAGCATTTTTAGTGAGTAAGCATCCCCCTCCCCCCTCATGTTTGTTACATAACCCACTGGGGGAATTTCACGAAAAATTATCTCCGTTTTTTGGTGTTTTTCTGTTGTTCCAGCAGGTAATTGGAGAAAAAACCGTATCCATAGCTTTTAGAAAATTTCCTGCAACCTCTTGTCGAACAGTTTACGGAATTATTGGTTCTCGAAATAAAAGACGAGAGACTCAGATTTCCAGTTTCCATGACAACCTTTCTCATTTGCTGTCAGGTCTTCTAGGTAATAATATAGATTGTAAAGCACATAGAGCTTGCTGTTAAGCGGTAATTTTTGCTATACAAATGCTATTTATTATTATTATTATTA